CCGGGCCCCCCCTGCCACGGTCCGGCCCTGCAGCCACCAACACGTTGCTCCATCCCCGTGCGTCGGCACTGGCCTGGGCTCGTTGCGTCGGGGCATCGTCACGGGGCACCAGCGGTGTGAGGGGACGCACGGCGGGGACCGGCACGGGCCAAAGGTCTGTTTGCAGGAGGGACGCGGGTGCAGCAGGGGCGGTTTTGCAGATACTGGCGTTGCGGCGGCGGGAGGAGAGTCACGCCTGCCCGAGGTGCTCCACGTTGCGGGGGCAGAAAATCCCTGTGCCCCACGGCGTGGTGCTGCCGAATGGGCTCAGGAGGTTAAAAAACAGAAGCATAGTTCTTCTTGGCATAGTTCGTAGCGATGCTTTTGGATTCTCTCCCGTGGGCCCTGGCAGTGGGCTGGTCCCCACCCCAGGCAGGGAGAGGAGCAGGATGCAGCCAAACCTCCAGAAAGGGCTGGAGTAGGGCAGAAGCTGCACATCTCAGCTGAATTTTAACTCTAAAAGGCATTCTTAGAGGTGAGACCCTGGTCCTTGTCACCTCCTGTCCATGCTGATACCCCACCGGCCGCCCCCATCCCCGCAGAGGGGCCAGGCAGCAGCTGGGGGGGCCGAGCATCCCTACCCGGGGGGAGCGGGTGGCGTGGGCATGGCAACGTTGGACTGACCCCACGGGAGGCTCTGGTGGCTCCCCTCGTCCCTCGCAGCCCCGTGAGACACTTCTGTGGCTCCCAGTGCCCACCTGCCCTGGGGTGAGCGGCACTGGCTGGCGTGAGCCATCGCTGACTGACCTTCCTCCCTTTTCCGCTCCTCCTCTCCCCTGCTGGAAGGACGATGAGCGAATCCGGCGCCAAATCCAGCCAGCCCCTGGCTTCCAAGGGGGAGAAGGATGTGGCGGAGAAGAGGGGCCGGGGGCGGCCCAGGAAGAAGCCGCAGGTACGTGGGATCCCCTGGGAGGAAGGGGTGGGGGGGAGCATCCCACTGGGCAGCTCTGCCCTCGGGGGCCGGGTACCCCCAGGCTATGGGGCAGCAAGAAACCCCCCCACTTGCACCCTGGCAGCATCCCCCGGGCAGGGATGGGGGTGCGCAGGGTGCAGCCCCCGTTACCTCCCTTCAGGCAGCACCTCCTGGGTGCAGCAGATCCCTCCTGGGGGGGCTTCAGAGCCCTTCAGAGCCGCCCCCCCCTCCAGCCCTGCGACACCCCAGAGCTCCTCCTCGCCCAGGGAAGGGCAGGAGCCTCCCCTCGCTCCTCCCCAGGCTGCAGCTGAACCTGCCTTTGCAGACGGGCTAATTAAAGCCCCATTAGGAAAAGCTGCTCAGAGGGATAAGATGCTGCCAGAGCCTTTATGGTGCCAAGCCCCCACCCCACCCACCCCCTCCCCTCCGGGGCAGGTGGGGGTTTGTGCACATCCTTTTCCCACAGAAAAGGCGATTTGCCGCTTCCACCACACTTCGCCAGGCAGCGGCACCGGCAGCGCGCCGGGTCCAGGGCTGAGACACCAGCGGGGACCGTCCGGCTAAGCCCAGCCATTAATGCCGGGCGGTACGGGTCACGTACGCACCCGGCTGAAGGACGTGCAGGAGCCTCTGCCTGCCGCCTGACCGCCAATCCCAGTGCAACCAGTGCTCCCAGTACCACATGCATCCCTGCCCCAGCAGGGTCTGCTGGGGAGAATGGGGCTCCCAGCCCGGAGCATCCCGGGGTGCACTGCTGCACCGGGAGCCGCTGCAGGCGCACGTCCCTCCCTGGGGACCCCCAATCTACAGTGACCCCCCTTCTGCTCTCCCTCCAGCAGGAGCCCAGCGAGGCCCCGACCCCCAAGAGACCCCGCGGACGGCCGAAGGGCAGTAAAAACAAGGCCACCCCGAAAGGCAGGGTAGGTGGCTGGGGACGGGGATGGGGGCTGCTCCGGCCGGGCAGCTGCGCACGGGGATGACGGGTCCCTTTTGAGCCCAATTGCAGACAATTCAGGGCAGATTTACCCCTGGGAGGGGGAGTTCTCGACGCTGGCCCCCGGGGAAGGTGGGGAGGGAGCCAGGGACAGCGTGTGTCGGCGTGCGGACACCCGCGATAAACCTGTTTGTAAAACAGGCGACTCACATCCTGCGCCCGCCTGTGAGTCACAGGGCTGGGGCTGTTCTGGTGCTGGGAGCCAGCGGCATGGGGTACTGGGGGCGCTGTGGCCCTGGGGCCACCAGGGTGCTGTGGCCCGGGAGATGCCACTGGGGTGATGAATTTAACAGTCATGGGTGGGAGGAAGGGGAATGCCATCCGCCCCCCTGGCAGCATCCTGGGGAAGAGGGGATGGCGCAGGCCAGAATAAAATGTCTCCTTTTTTTTTTTTTTTTTTTTTTTTTAAAAGCTGACTGCAC